TCATTTGGACATCTTTAAAGGCGATTTTCTCAATATTTACATTTCTTTGCACCCTCAGATTCCAGATTTTCAAATAATTGTATCTCGGCCAAATATTGTCCTATCCTAACAAACCATACATCAATGAAAAGCTTATTTATTCAACTTTCAGATTATGTATAAATCTCAATTTCGAAAAATTTACCCTTATGACTGGTTTTGTGGTCCAGGGTCACATTTTGTGTGATTGACTCGTTTTAAAGCTACCTACAAAAACAATTGGCCATAAGAGTCAGAAAGGTTAATTTGTTACTTAAGAGATAAGTCCCTGATAGCAAAGTACATCACGGAAATGTCTATTTGATGTCTGCATTTACATCTGCATTTTTTCCAAGTGTTTGCTCATCTGCAATATGTCTATAGGACGTTTCCTATCAGATGTCAAATAGACGTTTAGAAGATGTCTTTAAGATGTTCATGATTTAGAATGTATGTAAAACTGACATCTGAAAGAGTGCTCATCTGCAATATGTCTATAGGACGTTTCCTATCAGATGTCAAATAGACGTTTAGAAGATGTCTTTACGATGTTCATGATTTAGAATGTATGTAAAACTGACATCTGAAAGATGCCTATCAGATTTTTACACAGCAGATGCTTTCCAGATGAAGCGATCTTTAACAGACATCTTGCAGACGTCAGTCTTTTATTTTTTATTTGATTTGTCACAAAAGCGTCAAAAAGCGTGACATTCTACCACATGAGTGCTTTTCACACTGCATTTAACCACGTTTACACAGCAGATGCTTTCCAGATGAAGCGATCTTTAACAGACATCTTGCAGACGTCAGTCTTTTATTTTTGATTTGATTTGTCACAAAAGCGTCAAAAAGCGTGACATTCTACCACATGAGTGCTTTTCACACTGCATTTAACCACAGGTTATCTCGTTCTAAACTCTGCTTTTAACTCCAGATGCGTTTCACACTCATGATTTAATAGCAGGATTTGGTGTTAGAGTGTTACAGCTAGATGCTTCGCAACAGACAGCCAATCAAAAGCCTTTGCAGTTCATTCAGGAGAAACATAATAGTCTTCAATATATAATATTAGGACGTGCAAGAGCTGTTATGTAAACAGGTCAAGTACTGCATTTGTCCAATCAATGACACTGATACTACAAATATGTGAAATAGCAATGTCAGCACAATGTTTAGGAATGTACAGTGTTTAACATCATCTTATGATTACACAGGATTAATTGTTAACCCCAGGTAAATTATGAGCAGTGTGAAACATAAAGTAAGATTCCCAGGATTCCGTTTAACTGGAGTTTCGAATAACCCAGGGTTAACTATTTCAACTGTAAAAATCCCATGGGAAAAAAGGGAGTTGTGTTAGGGTGATGATACACGCGGCAACTTTTTTTGAGCAATGTTGACTGGGCCCTTTCCCATTGAGGATGGGTAACAACTTTCTATCTGGATACTTTAGATCGGTTGTGGACCCTGTGTCTCACCTGGTTGCCCATTGACAGCAACATTGGCCAAAGTTGCCCGGCAACATTGCTCAAAAAGTTGCCCTGTGTATCATCAGCCTTAGATCTTTTCTTTGGTAGAGAGTTGGTGACAGTGGTGTAGTTTGTTTATAGCCTACGTTTAGCTTTTAACTTCTGGCGATTGTATTCAGGCTTCAAAATTCATAAAAGTTGTGTTCATTTGTGAAGATTATCATGACAAATAAAACATGTAAGAACTTTTGTTGGTCTCAAACCTTATTTTCTACAAAAAAACAAAAGTCAATGGAAAAACAAATCTTTTTTTGAGGAAAGCAGGGTGATGCTAACTTACGGGTTGGCCTATGCAAATATGTAATCACTTTAGCAAAAATTTTACCAAAAAAAAAAAGAATTATGTAATTTAGGATTTTCATGCTATTGCACATGTACTCCCTCTGAAAATTGAAGAGGCTGTGGTCTTGCTTTTTAAACATTTAACCCAACCATCCAGCTGCATGATTAGTGCTTGAGGGAAGCGGTAAAAGTTGGGTGATTTGTGGAGTGCTGTAAATCAGGCATTTCTGCCAAAAAACGGACAACTTGACAACCCATATAATCATGACTTTGGTTTTGCTAAGCTAAAAGTTAATCTAAAAAGCCTTTGGCTTGTCCCAATTCAAATAACTACATACCTATCGAGTCTTAGAGTTGGAGTAGATTATGCTAACCTGATTATAACCAGTCCCCCTTTCTGACACTGTCCATATCATAACATGTACAAATCTGTGAGAAATCAAGCCATTTCCTTTGTCTCTGGCACTTTGGTTTGTTTACAGCAAAGGGAGACTCATTTGTAATGATCTGGCTGGGACAGGTTATGAGAAAGTGCAGCTTGTGATGTTTTGAGGGTTGAAAGTGAAGAAAAACTAGGGGCCCTATATGCATTAGAGAAATAATGTTCACCCTGGGGGTTTAAAACCTCCATGTAGGCTACGGGAAGGGGGAAGTAGGAGATGAAGAAAGAGTGGAGGAGAGAAGGGGACTTGTAGGAGTAACAATTCCCAGGAGGATCCCTGAAGAACCTCCTGATTGGGTCCAGTGGAGCTTCCATTGTTTGCCTGTCTTTGACATCTGAAGTTCATTATGTCCAGGGGCTGAGGTTTGTCCGAGGAATCAAACTAAGAACATATGTAGAAGAGAGGGAGAAATTCCCCTTCTCTTTAAAAGCAATGAAGGCATTTATTTTCCTTTGTGGTGTTTCCTGATCTCATATCAAAAGCTGTATTGTTTCTTTGCTCACAGGGGTCCCCAACGTTTTGGCAGCTTGTAATTCGGTTGCACCCAAAGAAACCAGTGATGCCTCTTAAAGCAAACAGTGCATTCACTAAGTGTACATACGTGCTGATTGTTTCAGGGCCTGAGATTCTGAACATAACAGATCGTTTTTATTTCACATACTGGTTGAGAATCAGATAAAAGTATGAAGGGGCATCATACTAATTCCAGAATTATGGTGAAGAGGTTCAATATGATTGATAAGATGTTTTCAGTAGTCAGTGGACTCTGGTCGGATTCTATGAGACTGTGAGCAGATAAATCATCTGTTCCGGAAGTGATACCATTAAGATTCCAGCGATAAGATTGATTTTTAAAGGCTGTAAGCTGGAGTTTGTGATGTTTGTGAGATCTGTCCTGAACATGAGCTGCACACCAGCTATTAAACTGTAACAGTCCATATTGAAAATAGAAATCTTTTTGAATTATAAGACCGAATTCTGCTATCAAATTACATTTAAGGTGCTAAATTAACACTTGCATTTTTTATGGGTCACTAATATCATTTGTAATCTCGGAACATCACCAGTATATCAAATTATAAGATATTTGAAAGATTGTCAGTATCCAAACTGTTTTGTTTACCATTGACTTCCATTCTGTTCCATCCTATTCTCAAAACAGATCTCTCACAAAATACCTTTTGAGGTCCTACAGGTTTGGAACAACATGCGGGTGAGTAAATGATTACAAAATTGTCATTGTTTGGGTGAACTATCACTTCATTACTTCATGTTTTAGTGGGCAAGATGTAAAATTCTAAATGGGTTGCTCTGGACAATAAAAAAATAACTGAGGCATTGTGCTAACATCACTCTCATTCTTGACGTATGTTGACATAAAAAGGAATTCCCATTAATTTTCTTTTTCAGAGCTTTAAGGTTTGTTTGAGTTGTGGAAATGGTTTCTTTATGATGTCAACCATCAGATAAGAGACATTCAAACTTTTTGGCATAGGTCCAAGTGATCTTTGAAACTTACCTTTCTGCTTTGATGATAGTTTTATCTTTTCTCCTTTGTATCATTTTTTTTCTTGGACCTTAGAGACATCAACAAATAGAAATTGGTCAAATGCTTTATAGTGAGTGAACAGAAACCACTAGGCATACGCCAATGTAAACAATAGAAACGTAGTTTATCTGCTTTGAGGAAGGTTGATTAATGATTGTTCTACATGTTTTATTCTGGACACACACACATTATTTTTTCCTCCTAAAATCAAGTTGGTTTGATAATCTCTTTGGAAAATCCTGCCAGCTCAACACATGTATTAAAATCACAATGTACCCTGTGGGTAAAAACGCTAAACTTGGGAGTTTGGAAAGTTGACGACAAATAAAAAAAATAAATAATGCAAATCTTATATTTAGATTATTCTAGAATGATTCTGAGTAATACAAATAGTTTTAAAGACGTTGTGTCGTTTAATCATTTACTTACCCTCCCGTTGTTCTGAACCTGTATGAGTTTCTTTCTTCTGATGAACAAAAAAGAAGATATTTTGAAGAATGTGGGTAACCAAACAGTTGCTGCAGCCATTCACTTCCATAGTATTTTTTTTTCTTCTCACCCATACTATGGAACTCAATGGCTACCGACAACTGTACCCACAACAACAGAAGAAAGAAACTCATACAGATTTGGAGCTTGGGAGAGATTTGTGTGTAATATATATATATATATATATATATATATATATATATATATATATATATATATACATTATTAAATATTTAAATGATAAATTAAAAGTATTAAAACAATGCAATTAGTATGCTTGAAGCATGAACAGTATGACAGTATGAATGTTTCATCATTTAAGACGAGATAAAGATATACAGAGAGGCTATGGATAAAAACATACTAAATTAATCATAAATAAAATAAATGATAAATTATTAAAAAGTAAAAAATTATTAAATATAAATAAAATGCAATTATTATGCTTGATACATAAACAATATGACAAGAGTGGTTTAATCTTTTGACAGATAAAAAAGCTGGAAGGCTTTTGATAACAAAAATATGAATTATTCAAATAATAATACAATTATTACATATTTCAGTTCTTAATTCTAAAACAAAACAATGCCATTGTAATGTTTGATACATTAACTGTAGGACAAGAGAGCGATTTATTCTTTTTAGTCTCCAACACAAAATCAGTTGGTTCACTCATTGCCACATTCACAAATAAGAGCATCCTGTTACTTGGTTTCAGTATGCTTTCTTCTCCAATTAGGAATCTAAAGCCCATCTTATGTCGTTAGCTGTAAAACCCCACTCAGTGATGGGTTCTTAATTGCGAAGCTCGTTGCTTCAGACATGCAGCTTCTTAGCGTAAATGCACAATTAATGGCACTGTGAGGCTTGTCTGTTTTACAGTTTGCCCAGTCAATTTGATGCAACAGGATTCAATAACAATCAGCCTGACGTCAACTCTTTGGCATTCATTCTGAGCGCTGGTTAAAAGGCTTTGCCGTCTCTGAATTATTTAACAGTGGATTCAAGTGTGTGAGTAAGAAAGTGCAGCAGAAAGCAACATAGTGCTTCAGAAAACACAGCAGCATCTTGTGAATTTGGCTATAGATCCAGTTCAATTGAAAAAACAGTTTGTACCTGCAAAATCACAGTGGTGTATCCGTCTTTTCTCAAGGTCTGGGTTTGTTCTTCTGTTGTAACGAACAGGCATGGACCCAGTGTTCGCGAGAGCTCGTGTCGAGGTGGGTGTTGGGTGACTGGGCGCATGGACAGCCATTTTGGAGGCGATAGTGGCGGCGTAAGATGGTGGTGGTGTCAGATTGTGAAGCAGTTCCTTCTGTCTGTCAGGACTGCCAGGTTCTGAAGTGGGAGGCGAGGGGGGAAGATAGGGCATTTTGAGCTGTGAGTGGGCCTGACCCTGAGGATGCACAAAGTGACCCGGGCCGAGAGGGAAGCCGGTGGTGGGCATGCCACAGTATGGCTTGGCAGCTGTCTGTTGGGTCGCTAAGTGCAGGTCGTGGAAAGTAGGCATCTGTGAGGGCACAGAGTGAGCGTGAGGGTGGGAGTGAGAATCGGCTTGATGGGGGATGTCCAGCTCCGAGTTGAGGAGCTGGAAGAGCGGCCCATCCTGTGGGATGTCAAAGCCTTGCATCTCCTGCTTGACAAAGACCCCAGAGTTATCGTCCATGGGATTGATTTCAGAACCCGAAGTGGAATTTGAGTTAAAGATGCTGGTGAAATCGGGCAGCGCGGATGGAGCGGGGCCAGTCGAGCTCACCGGACACTCGGGATGAGAGAAAGGCGCCACTACAGGTTCAGTTTTGACGTGGCTGGGGACTGAAGGCCGCGCTGGCCGGCACATTCCCGTTCTTAGGTAAGCAATGTCGGGGAGGAAGACATTCATGTTGATGCTATAGGGGGACCCGTGATCGTCCCCAAAAAACTGGTCCATTACAGAGATGCTCTCTCGTCTTGACTTCTTTGGATCGGGGAGAGCCACAGGTTGTGGAGACAGATATTTATCCATCTCTAGTTTAGCCTAGAGAGCAAAAGAGAGAAGCATAAAATTGTAAATGCAGTTGTAAAGGCCATTAAAGGCAAACAAGATAAACAGATTTCAGAATAATAACTGCTGGAATATTGCACACGCTGCTTCTGTCAGCAAAGCTGCCAGGATCTCCTGGGACTGCTTGTGTTGGCCGAGCACAAACACAATATACATCAAATTTTAGAAAAGCTTGCAAGAACGCAAATATTCACTTACTGTTACAACAATGGCCAACATGCCTGCTTACTCAGCAAAGATAACTTGGCTCTGAGTAAAAATATATGGACTACTGAACACAGCAGACACTTAAATCATCTTACACCATAAATTATATTTACAACATAAATATAAACATATATAACACACACACACACATATACAGTATATATATAAATCTAATCTCTCTCTCTCTCCATACATTATATATATATATATATATATATATATATATATAAATATACATACACATATACTAAATCTATCATATACATCTAGCAATAAACCGATTTATCGGCCAGGCTGAGTAATTAGGAGATATTTCCTTTGTTTCCTCTTCAACTGAGGATGCTTTGGACTATAATAATGGTAATAGAAATCAATTAACCTTGAATGCATGAATTCTCCTTGAAAGAGAGAAACTTAAAGTTTTTAGTAATATATGGACAGGCAAGCATGTTGGAATGGGTAAAAGTAAATATATACATCTAGTGATTTATTTATTCGCCAATTTATCGGGTAAGTAAATGGCCGATATTTGGCCATTTTGAAGTAACCGATCGTTTCTGCTGGACGATTAACAGACTAATAATAAATCACTTCTATTATTTTTTTCCCCCTGTGAATTTTCAGTAAATGTTGTGTAACATTTATGTTCATCTCATTTGCTGTCATTGAATGTATTATGTTTGCAGTATATCAGCACTACCAACGTGAATGTCTGAATGAAAGTTTGATTTTTTTTACTAGAAATTTATGGGTAGATATTTTACCTCCAAAGCCAATTTATAAAACCTAGAAATCAGAGCAATGTTTTACCACCTGATCTGCGATCTTGTCTATATTGAGAGCATGAATCGGTTGTGCTGCTGTATGGAGCAGTCAGAGGTAAAGCATTTATCAAGTCTTCTTCGATATGTCTCTGCTACATTCCGCCTTAGACTGTAAAACAGCGCTCATACCACAAGCTCAAAACAGACTTGCTGACAGGTGGAAAGCATGCTGGAGAGATTGCTCAGCCTTTCCATATTGCCACCCAATTATCATAAAACCGTGATCAGCAAAAAACAGTAAATCAAGACTCATTAATTACTTCCTGACAGTAACATCTATAGAGTCACTAGAGGAATAAACATCAGTGGAAATGAAAACACTCACACACACACATACAGTACATGCATACATAGACACTCGGAATGCCAGAGCTCTTTATGCGGCTGCTACACATAGCGATTTCTGGATTTAGATCTTCCAGCTGTTGGCCGGACATGTATCTCTTTCACAAGTTTTCAGTTTGAGGCTCGGCGTTGCTGGGAAGTTTCAGTTCGGAGTTCGAGAGCAGCACGCGTGGGTGAGGAGGGGGAGGCAGCTGTTGACGGTTCGGTAGCCAAGAAACCAACTGCAAGCAACTGACACGAGTATGTGCGCTACCCGTCCCAGCCCAGACTCTCCCCTGCGTTACAGCCACGGGGAAATCCCCAAAAACATCACCAAATCTGAGGACGCTTTGGACTAGGCTAACATTTTGAACAGTGATGATTCTTTATATTATGCAATGCGTGATGGTAATGACTATTATGCCAGTGACATTTGATTATGTATTGTTTGTAGGCTATTTGGAGAACACGGGATAAGCACTGACAGCGAACACAAGTTGCATATAAGATTAACTTTGAATTTCTAATAAAAATAAAAATCTCATATAATAACCTCCTTTGGTAATAACACCTAAAAAAAACAAAACAACAATGCAGATCATGATTTAAAATTATTAAAATTAATTGATCATCTTTCATTTCTTTTCTTTTTTTAAACTCTGCCTGACCTGGTGAAAACGATTAAGCATTTTATAAATAAATAAATAAATAAATACGTTGATGGAAATGAGCGATTATTTGTTATAAAAATACAATTGTTATAAATGCACACAGAATTAACACACTGAAATACGTTCTTATGACAAAGTGTAAAGTAGAATTGTCCAGAATTTAACACTTTTTGTCCGTTTTTATTAAATGGAAAGGTGATAATTGTGGATGGGGGGGACACAATTCTCAATTTCTAAGAATCTGAAAATGCAACATTTCAGCGAAAACGACAAACAGTAAATTAGAAACACAATACAACTTTATTTGAACTAATCTTTAAACTAGATTTGTCTTTTTTTCTAAAATGATCCTATGAAATAATTGAAGAATCGCACATGGCTTGCTTAACGCATTGGATGGGGCATGATGCTGATGGGACTGCAGGCGTGCAGGCTGCCGCATCATCTACAACGGCCCACCTCTCACACGAAGGGGTGCATTTGATCTTTAATCCATCCAGTGATACAGTCACATCTTGAGCAAAACGAAAAAGCGAAGCTCAATTCAAAGAACTGATAACAACAATTACCTGAGAATAGTCGGTTGATAAGCTCCTTTCCGTGTCGAGAGTCTTAGTTTCAAAGGAAAACAGAGAGGGGTCCTCCTGAAAGCCGTCGGACAGTGAGGGTTTGAGAAGCGAGAGAAAGTCGTCTTGCCCCGGTGCGAGCGCAGCGCTCATCGTGAGAAGCGTAGCGGCCATAAAGCCGTGGATGTGACGGAGAGAGGGTCCGCAAGATGGGTTTTGATAGACGTTGAGGAGGGGGAAGTGAGTGTATGGTGCATGGAATGATACCCGTGCGTGTGCTTTTAGTAGTAATGTCCCGCTCCGCTTCGCTCCGGGATATATGTATACTCGCTGAAAGGGCGGGGCCTGAGAAAGTGAGACGGCTACACCTTTACTACTGCTGTTACTGTAACAGCGCAACAAACCCGTCAAAACAGAGAGTTAAATCTGCCCACCCCTTTAAGTATTTAATTTAGCATTTAAATAATTGTAATAATGACGGCAGTGCAGCACAAAATCCAGAGGCGGACAGAGTACTCAACTCCATTACTTGAGTGAAAGTACAGATACTGCTGGTCAAATATTACTCCATTACAAGTAAAAGTTGTAAAGACAGATTTTTACTTAAGTAAAAGTACAGAAGTACTTGCTTTTAAAAGTACTTAAGTACCAAAAGTACATTTCCTTTTTTTATGTCAATGCACTGTTTTATTGTTGTATGTAATACTTGCAATACTTCTGAAGCAACTTACAATACATTACACCTACTGAATACACTGACTAGCTTGTAGTATCTTTGGAATAAAGAGCTTATAGAATGTTAAAAAAATTTTTTTTTATAACACCCCTACCCACCCCCACAAAAGCAGGATGGTAGCTCTGACATCTCCATGTAGCCATTCATCCACATTTGAACAGAGTGAACAGTGAAATCCATAGAAATGCAGTGGAGTGAAAAGTACAATATTTGTCTTTCAAATGTGGTGAAGTTAAAGTCACAAGTTCCCTGAAAAAGTAATACTCAAGTAAAGTACAGATACTCAAAAAGTGTACTTAAGTACAATACTCAAGTAAATGTACTTAGTTACTGTCCGCCTCTGATAAAATCACAACTCACTATAAATAGTAATCGTGTTCGAATTGTACTCATTATTTTTATCGGTTAATTCAATGTGCATTTTATGATAAAACATTCTTTATTTTATATAATACAAAAAAAGTATGTTAGTACAAATAACTAGCTACAGCAGAGAAGTAAATAGCCAATAACAAGCCGTAAAACCGGATCTTTTTCAGGGAAGTCGAATACCCGAATGAATGGCTCTTGTGAGTAGGTTCTTTTAAGTGAGCCAACAACATACAAGAGGTCAGGGTTGTCCAATTAAGAGCCGGTGCTTTTAATGAATCTAAAACACTTATGAATCTCTTAGTCTGGATCTGTTAGTCCCTTACAGAATGCAAATATGTTATGCTGTACTTAATTAGGCTACACATTATGACATTCACTGTAATCAGTGGCATTGTTTTAATGAATGCAGATTTGACATTTAGGCCTACACTAATTTGGTAGGCTATTAATGCCAATTTCTATTGCATTTTTGTCGCCTCTAAAAATGTTATAGGCCTACACATTTTGCAAGCACTTATTTGACTAATTATTTAATGTATTATTATATTATTTCTGATTTGTTATCCGTTTTGTTAATCTGAAATCTCATTTGAGATCTCATCATGTGGCAACCGACTGCCAAGAGCAGTCAATGCAATCAGATTTTTATAGACGTGTCTGCACATCTGCATTTACTGTTTGCAAAGCTGTAAAATAAGGCTTATTCACAAACGGTAAATGATCCCTATATAAAATAAATGTTTACCATAATTTCACATTTAAAAATAACACAACACGGCAAACAAAAATATCCATCTCAAGCAGACTGAATCAATGAAGTGAATCAATAAAACACAGCTCACTGCTACCTCTGTTCTTGCTGGACATTCGAGCCTGTGGCGCGTAACATTAAGATGACACAAATAAGCGTGCAATGCGGCTGCGATAAAGGTATGCGCGCGCTCCTCTATTTTTATCAACAGCGTGTCTCGCATCTTACGAATCAAAACGGAAGGATCCAGATCTTATTACCATCAAATGATACATTCAGATATTGAGATATCTTTACAGGGTGAAGATTAAAAATGCTTATATTCAGATACTGTATACCTACGTGTTGCTTATAACCGTACTTTACCTTACTTTAAAAACAAATTCACATGCCTGTTTGAATGATTTATTACCATTAAAATTAAAATTCATAGTTTGAGGTTCACATTTTTCATGGCTACACATCAAACCTGTGTAATAGGTCTTTTAAAAAAGACTTTCATCCTTGGTTGCATCCCAAAAGTCTTAAACAAGTTGAACAAGCCTATTTAGTTTTCCGTTTGACTTTTCTGTACCATTCTGGAACTTCTTTATTGGTCTGTTAAAAGAAAGAAAAAAATGGTTAAATCTCTTTGACCATTTCTTTGGACTTTGGTCTGAGTAAAACATTCTGAAAAAGTTAATGTGAGTAGCCACAAGCAGCCCAAATAGAAAGCAAAAAACAAAACAAAAACATTTTTAGCAGTTCAAAAAATTCTTTAAAATGTGTCTCTGTTTTATAAAGACGACAAATTACTCTTCGAAAGGTTCTGTACATGGGTAGTTAAGCAAAACTTACAAACACTGTGGGTTTGGGATCATAGTTGTTTTGCTCCTTGTCTGTGCCTTTTAAAGCTTTGGGTCTATGAACTGCTGTACCGGCACCATCGGTCTCAAGCTCAGGTAGGGATACAGACAGAGGCCCACCGTGCTGCTGTGAGCGCATGCTAATCAGGACTTGCTTCATCACAGACAATTCCTGCAACAGAGTAAGAACAAATCAGTGGTAGCCTGAGAGTTAAAGAGCTTCATCCTATTGTTTGTTTGTTTGTTTCCCCTTCACAATGTCTAAGAAAGAGCCTGCAGCATCTGTGGTGCTTTGATTGCAGTCTTGTTTTGCCAGCAGTGCTATGCCCTTAGGAAGGGCAATTAATACTGAAACTACAAACACAAACATCCCATGTGTCCTGTTGTAGATGTCAACATTCCATAACATCCATACAACCACGTCATTTAAAACACTGTTATTTGCTTTTATATATATATATATATATATATATATATATACACACACAAAGCACACAACCCTGCTTTAGTGTAAATACTATCTGAATCAGTTGAAGGAAACACCCTCAAACACAACAAGTTTCTTTTATTACTCTGAAGTCATCAGTGTAATACAGCTCTGAGAATGGATAGAGGTTTCATGAAAAATGTTACTGCATACATGTCACTAAAGAAAATTGTCTCATTTTAAACAATGTGGCGCAGAGAATATAAAGTTGCTTGAAAACAGTGAAACTGCAATATCACTTTCAACGTTTTTCTTCATTTTTATTAAAAAATAAAAGATAAAAAAATAAAACTAAAACTAATTTTTCTTCATACTTATTAGAAAGAAAGAAAGAAAGAAAGAAAACAAAATAAGATCTGGTAGGTAAAAAGAAATACTGACTAATTGGTGTTTTACTGTAAGAATATAATAATAAAAAAATAATAATTGCTGACAACTGCATATTAATGAGTGAGTTCATCTATGTTTATGAATCGGTCAACCACAGTCTTGTCTCAACTACAGCCTATCAGCAATTTGTGGCTGGATTGGGAAAAAAAAACCCTTCATATTTTTACCTGACCTGAAAAAATGTTTAGAGAAAAAGACTGTGTGATGTCAGATCAGTTGCGGTTCATACTCGTGTTCCAGCATGCTGATAAAAATAGACACCAAAAAGTTTTTCCAAAAAGAAAAGCACTGGTGACAGATATAGAAGATAATTTTAGAGCTACAGAATACTGCACAAAAAACTGTACATACTTGCCCTCAGTAAAACCATCTAGGTCTTAAAATAATACTGAGAAGAGGGGGACAGACAGTCCATATTATGCAACAGGAATGCTGCTACAAAAATGTACAGAAAAAAAAAAAACCTGCTGAAAGGAACTTTGTTTTGACACCAAAGTGTCAAACCTCCAAAAAAGTTGAATAGCATTTTTTTTTTGCAAACGGTTAATATTCACACGCATGATGGCAATGTAAAATATCCCCTGCTAGTACATGACCGCCCGGTTCAACGGCGAATGTAGATCAGCCCGATGCGTAAGAGTCATTCAATATTTCTATTTATCACTGCGCGACCATATGCGCTGGCATGCTAAAAAGCGCCAGTGAGGAGCAGCTGTCTGTGAGGATTGCATGCTTTCTGACAACATGCCACTGGAAGTTGTGAAGTCGGCACAGTGTGTGCCAGCAGCATTTGGTTGAATATAGCTCCAGATTGTCAGAGGAGGTATAGTGTACCTTCGTGTGCCTTTCAGATACAGGACAACTCCATTCATTTAATAGAAACGCAATTCTATTTCTATTTCTAAATGCATTGAAATTAGTACATGAAACCAAAGGAAAATTTTCACAAAAAATCTCACAGTGTACTGACTTGTTCCTTGTTTCATACCTTGCCATTCAAAACACTAAATTCAGAACCTACCGGTCAAATAGATTTTGGCGTTACACATTGGTTCCCCTCAATGAGGCAATGTATTAGCTGTCTGTCAACAACCACAAGCAGCAAGGTTATTATGAATCTGATGACTTGAGCATGGGAAAAAGTTGACCTGAGAGACTGGATTTTCTAGTTACTGCATCTCAGAAACTTCTAGGAAAGCTGTTGTCGCAACTGAGCTGTACTGAGAGCTTCCTAAACATATAAAGCAGAAGCATCCAGTGATCAGTTACTAGTGCTGCAGATTCCTAATTTGCATGAGAGTTTTTCCCCATGAAGGTATGACTTGTTTAGAGAGTAATCTGCAGGTACGCAGTGTAACTACTAATTGGACAGGCAGGCTGGGTGAGTGAGTGACTGACAATGAAAGAGGACACACCTAAACTAGACTCTGTGTCTGTGGGAACTACTCTCTTACTGTCATGAGTAGATACCTTTAATGGACAATGTATGATAACATTCCTCCAAAAAGCAGTTTTTAAGTGAGTAACTTGGGAGTTGTATTATTTACTTAATTTCATATTATATATATTATAATTTCATATCATCTTATTTCATTAATCATTTTGAATTAGCTAAAAAAAAAAAAAAATCTAAATATGCATGAGACTACTTTAAAATGCAACTAAGTGAAGCCATGTCCACTTTAAAAAATAATAAAGTGAACAAAACGTTTATTGT